ACGCCGTCCCCGCCCCGGTCGCCCCTCGGGTCTTGAGCCGTCTTGGGCGGTTTGGGGGACTCTCTGCGGACCATCTTCGGTTGCCTGGGGGCTTCAGGGGGGCCCCTTGGAGCATTCTGGATGCTTTGGGGGGCCTTCTTGGGGTCTCCTAGGGCTCTCTTTGAGGAGGAAGGCTGGAAATGTCAGGTCGGGTACCCCTGTGAGCTCTTTCTGGGAGCGGTCCTGGGGCCTTCTTGGGCTGTCTTCGGGGCCTCTAGGTCACTCCTGAACCCCACTTGAGCCGTGTTGGGGCCCTCTTGGAACTCTCTTTGGCCGTCTGGTGCGATCTTGGGGCCCTCTTTGGCCCTCTTTGGCCGTCTTGGCGCGAGCTTGGAGGCCTCTGGGCCAATATTATAAAAATGGACGTTTTCCGAAGAGAATGGGGCCATTGTTGCTTCTGCGGGCCCTCTTGGGAGTCCTCTTGGATGCCTCTTGGACCGTCTTGGGCGGTTTGGGGGACTGTCTGCGGACCATATTCGGCTTCCTGGGGGCCTCTTGGAAGCCTCTTGGGGGCTTATGGGGGGCCTCTTGGGGCATTCTGGATGCTTTGGGGGGCCTTCTTGGGGTCTCCTAGGGCTCTCTTTGGGGAGGAGGGCTGGAAATGTCAGGTCGGGTACCCCTGTGAGCTCTTTCTGGGAGCGGTCCTGGAGCCTTCTTGGGCTGTCTTTGGGGCCTCTAGGTCACTCCTGAACCCCACTTGAGCCGTGTTGGGGCCCTCTTGGAACTCTCTTTGGCAGTTTTTACAGGGTTTCCGCGTCCTGGGCCTCGGAGGCCGCCGCCTCCGACCCCCCATGGGCCAGGAGGGCCTCCAGAGGCTCCCAAGACGGCCCAAGCGGGCCCCGAGTCGCCGAAAGACCGCTCCAGGACGCCCAAGGTAGGCCCAAGACGGCCCGAGAGGCCCCCCAAGGCACTCCACGACGCTTCAAGACGCCTCTCCACAGCGCTTCAAGAGGCCGAAATCGTAAATTTTACCAAGGTTTTCGAACGATTTTGGCCTTCCAGCCTTTTCGGCTGTCCGACGTTCCAAGACGGCTCAATAGGCCCCCAATAGCGCCCCAAGACAGCCCAACAGAGCCCCAAGATGCGCCCAAGAGGGGGACCACGAGTCCAAAATTCGACCCTCCCGCGTGAAGAGTGCCCCAGGAGGCCCCAAGGAGCCCCCAAGAGGCCCCAGGAGGCTCCCAAGAGGCACCCAGGAGGCCCAAACGAGGCCTAAAGAGGCCGCAAAACAGCCCCGAGGAGGCCCCACAACGGTCCCAAAACCGCTACCAAGAAGTTGCGAAACTGCCTTCACGACGTCCCCGACAGGCCAACCACGAGATCCAAACCAACACCCATGAGGCCTCTGACCCACCACTCAGGGCACTGTGGCGGGAGCAGTGACAGCACTTCTGCACAGCATGTTCCGGCGGGAGCCTTCCGGAACACGCTGCAGGAGGAGGAGGAGGAGGAAAATCAGGAGGAGAGAGAGCTGGAGTGGGAGGAGGAGAGGAGGAGTGGGACGAGGAGGAGGAAGAGGCCTCCAAGACAGCTCCAAGATAGCCGAAGAGGCTTCCAAGAGGGCCCTGGGCGGCCCACGAGGGCCCCAAGACGGTGCCTGAGGCGCCCAAGAAGGCCCGAGGGGGCCCCAAGACGGCCCCAAGAGAGGCCCAAGAAGGGAATCACGAACTGAGAATCCGAGCTTTCTACCCCGAGAGGTTCTCGGGAAGTCCCAAGAGGCCCCCAATCGGATCCAAGAGGCCCCCAAGAAGCTCCCAAGAGGGCCGACGAGGTTCCAAGAGATCTCCCAAGGTGGCCCCAACAGGCACAACTCATTGTTTTACGATTGGACTTTGACGGGTTTTATTTTTTTCGGCCTTTTGGCATCCCGATGCCCCAAGACGGCCCAAGGGGCTTCCAATACCGTTCCAATATAGAGGAAGAGGTCTCCAAGAGGGCCCCAAGACGGCCCGCGAGGGCCCCAAGACGGTGCTTGAGGCGCCCAAGACGGCCCGAGAGGGCTCCAAGAGCCCAAAGAGAGGCTCAAGAAGGGGAACGCGACCCAACAGCAGAGCGTTCCCCACGAAAGGCCCACAGGAGGCCGCAAGAGGACCCCAAAAGCTTCCCGAGGGCCCAACAGGCCCCTAGGAGATGTCCAAGAGGTTTTAAGATAGCCCAAAAGTGCCCTCGATGCGTCAAAATTGCTTCCAGGAGGCCCCCGGGAGGCTTCCGAATTGCCTCAATCTGGCCGCAGGTGGCCTCAAGTCGGGCCTCCACGCAGCCAAGACGGCCAATGACGGCTTCAGATTGCAGAACCGATGCCCCCAAGGGACCCTCAGACGCCCCCCCCAAGAGCCACCCAAGAGGTGCCTCCAACAGCCAGTTGACGAAGCATGCGGAACACCCCAGAAGCTCCTCAGATGCCGTCGCGCGCCTGTGCTTGATAACGTTGTCCAAGATCGTCCAGCGCCCCCCCGGCCTGGGCTAGAACCTGAGCGCGCGCGAAGCGCGCGCGATGGTTCTAGTGTATATATATAGGGTCCAGGGATGTGAGGCTGCGGCCTGCGCACAGGCAGCCCTTCCCTAGGTTGCCCCCGCTTGACTCACCAGGCCCCCCGAGTAGTCCTAGGCGGTCTCGGCACCCTCCCCCTGGGGCGCGGAGCGCCCCAGGAGCGCCGCCGGAGATGGCGCCAGGCTGTTGAGACTGTCCTGGCCTGCTCGGGGGGGCCTCTGGAGGCCAGCGGGGGCCATTTGGGAGGGCCTGTTGGGGCCAGCCGGGCCGCGAGGGTTGTCTGTGCGCAACCCGAAGCCTTACAGTCTGTGAGTCGTCTGTGCGCAATGTTCCTGCGTCAACCCCCCACATGCGGTGGCCCAGATCCCCCCCCAAATCGGGCGGGGAGGAGGCGGAGGCCAGCCTGGGGAAGCCTGCATGAAGGCCAAGGCAGGCTGATACCAGGGCGTCGAGGCATTAACACATCAGAGCATCAACACGTATAGTCACTATCTAGGCACAGGTAGTTTCCAGCCAGCGTCCATGTGACAAAGGCGGACTATGCGCTTCGGGCTTGCTCTCCTGACGTCGCAATGTACGACGTTCCACTCCTTTTTTGTCGCGTTGTTTTTGTTCAAACGTCGCATACATCCACCAAATCACGATTGCATCAAGGCATCAGGACGTTATGGAATCAAGCCATCGAGAGAGCCAGCACGACAGTTCATCAATGCATCAAAGCATCCACAAATACACACATATCCGAGAGGCCCACGCCACGCCTCGGACTCCGGCCCCCAGGACAGCAGGGCTGAAGGTCCACGGGGGGGGCCTTTGGGGGGCCTCTTGGTAGCCCCGTGGGGGCCTCTTGTGCGCGTCCCGGGGGCCTCTAGGAAGCTTCCTGGGCGTCGCTGGCGGTCCCGGGGGTCCTCTCAGGGCGGAGGGCTCAGAAGGTCAGTTCGAGTTGCCTCTTTGGGTCTTTCTCGGGTCCGTGCTGGAGCTTTTTGGCTTCGTCGTGGGCGCCTCTTGGCGGCCTTGGGACCCTCTTGGGCGGTTTGGGGGGGCCTCGAAGGGGTTTGTTGGGCCGCTTTGCAGCGATCTTGCGAGCCTCTTGGGCCATCTGGGACGCTTTCAAGACGGAGCTAGCGATTTGCGAGTGTGCAACAAATTACGTGTTCTTGCGGCACTGATACCATGTGGTTTCTTGGGGCTCTCTTGGGGGTCCTTTGGGAGCTCTCTTGCAGCGTCTTGGAGACCTCTTAGGCCATCTTGAGGCGATCCTGGTCTCTTTGAGGCTTCATCGACGCGATGGAGATCAGTTGAGCAGGTGTACATAGAATATTAGTACTTCTTGGAGGCTGTTGAGGCCCAGAGGAGGCAAATTTGATTAGGGATTTGAGGGGGGAAGGGGGAGGGGGGCAGCCAATCAGTTTACACGCCAGCCACCTCCATACATGTATACATATAGACATATAATACATACGCATATCCACAAGCTTATACATATACACAGTCACATACCTATGAAAACACGTACATTTACATTACATGTATACATGTTCATTCTCCGATACGTACACGGTTGCATGCATCCGTACACACATACGTACGTATATACATACAACCACACACACGCACAGATGCAGTCATACATAAAACCGCACGCACGTACATGCATCCATGCAGACATGCCTACATGCATACATACGTACATACATACATTCACGCATGCATGCATGCATGCATACATACAGTCATTCGTGCACATACCTACATGCACACATCCATACACACATTCAATCATCCACATATGCATACACACATACAGACACGCATGCATACTCACATACATCGACAGATGCATTCATGCATGCATGCATGCATGCAACTGTACATACATCCATATCTACGTACATAAATTCATCCATACATACGTTCGTGCAAACGTACCTGCATACACATACCCACATACACACACCTACCTGCATACATACATACATACATGCATTCATACATACATGCATCCATATATGCATACATATGATACACATACACGCGTACCTACCCGCCAACCTTCTGATCTACCTACCAGACGTACCTATCGACCTATGTTCTTACGTACCGGCCGACTTATCCACCGATCTACGTACATGCATACAAGTTACAAGCATACATGCATACACACAGACAGATATGTGTATATACTTACAGACAGACATACAGACAGGCCGACAGACAGACATACATATATATATATATATATATAGATATATCATGTATCAATACATACGCATCCCCTCCCCTTTCCCCCCTCCCCTCGTCTTGCAACCGCCCTCCCTCCCCGTTGCCCCTCCGCCCCCTCTTTCCACAGCTCCTCGTCCCCATCTCGCACCACACCCCATTCACGGGTGGCATCTTCGGGACACCGGCTCCCAATCAGGCCCTGTCCACGAACTTCCTGCCTGTGTCTCCCCACGGCCGCTCCGGTTCCAGGCATGCGCCCGCTCGCCACTCCGCTCGCCCAGCCAGCCGCCGGAGTGGCCCCTCGCCGGAGTGACCTTTTGGTGGTGCGCGGCGTCCGGGAGGCGCGGGAGGCCAAGCCCAAGCGCGCCGGCCCCGACAGGTGCACCGTATGCAGTGATCGGCAAGCGGTGCTTGGAAGCTGGGCGACGGCTGCTAAAGCCGTGGCTGCCAGAACGGCTTTCCCGGAAGCAGTCAACGGGCTACTTTCTGGTGGTCGATTTTAGCAGCCACGGATTTAGCAGCCTTTGCCCGGCTTCCGAGGTGCACCGAAAGGTCGCCCCAGCATCGGGACACTTCTTGCGTGTGGCCGATCCGCGACGCCCGCCTGCGCCTTGCAGGTTTCCAGGCCTCCCAAGTGGGGTCTGCGTAGATGGGGTCGGAGCTTCGCGCCGCATCGCCGATGCATCGGCGATGAGACCCCGAAACGGAGCCCAGCCCAATCTTCTCCACGCCGACGGTGCCGATGTTATCCCGACGTCGCCGATGCATCGCCGAAGCATGTCCAATCCAATGCATCTGCGGCGCGGCTGGATCCTGCGACCCCAGCTACAACAGTCGAAGCTGATGATAAGTGGGGTAACCTTCCCAAGGGTACCCTTACATCCTTGCCTCGTCGGTCCATCTGTAACCACGTGCACTGGCAAGACCCTCCCCAGAAGCTTCGACGTGCGCGTCCGAGGGGCCTGCGTCCCTGTCGCGCATCCTTCCTATCCGTGTTGAGACTGTGGAAGCCCCACGTGGGGGACCTCCGAGGCCCCAGGCCTCGCCCGCTCGCCATGCCGTGGCGCCCTCCGCTCCGCCGCCGGCGCGCGGCGGTCGCGGCGCTGGCGGCGGCGCTCCTGGCGTGGGCCGCCTGCGGCCATGGCCGCTCCGCGGCCCCCGGCGCCTGGGCGGTGCCGCTCGGGGCAGGCTCGCCGGGCTCTCGAAACGGATGGAGGAGGAGGAGGAGGAGGAGGAGGAGGAGGAGGAGGAGGAGGAGGAGGGTGAGGATACACCGGGCATCTCTGAGATCTGGCTGCTCTGGAGGATGCATCGGGCGTCGGTGCCTTCTCCGAGCGTCCTGGCCCAGTCCGACGGGTGCGGCCGTGCACCGACGCCAGGCCCGACCGTGGTCCATCCCAGGCCCCAGGCAGGTTCGGCAGCAACTCATGGGAGACGTGTGCTCGAGATTTCGCTTTTAGAGTGCGCTGGCGTGCGCTAGCGTCCGGCACTGGATGAGGAAGCGCCGCTGTAGCGTCGATTAGCGTCGATTTAACGTCGACTAGCGTCTGTTAGCGTCGATTCGCAAGAGCCAGCAAGGTGGCACGGGAGGCTCCCATGAGTTGCCACAGAAGATTGGAGCGCGCCTCCGGCGGCATGCTTGGGCCATGTCGCACTCGAGAGATCGAAGGCTTTGGCATCTACTCCCCATCGGAAGCCAGCGGAAGCAAATGAAGTCTCAACGGCTCAAGGATTCAACGGCCGCCTCCTTTCCGAGCTGGGTCGCAACTCCCAGCCCGTCCGTGCGCAATGGTTTCCGCGCGCCGTCCGTCAGCGCTGCCACATTGCCCAGCAGTGCCTCGACCACCCAGTACGAGAACCAGAGTGATGCTGCGATCGCCGAAGGAAGCCATGTATTCGCTTACGGCCGTGGGGACCTCCGTTCTCGCAGCCGTTGCCAACCACGTCTTTGCCGCTGTGGACAACCACGCCTTCGGTTACGAAACCAACGGAGTGAAGTTGTCGGTCGAGTCCATGTTGGGACACTACTGCTGCGACGATGGTATGGTGCAGTCAAGTTTGTCGCCCCGCGTCGGCAAGGTTGATCGTTGTCCAGCGGCCCCCATAGAGTCTGAACTTCTATGAACAAAAGGATTGCGAATACTGCGAAGAGCAAGGATGCAGGGGGCGGCGCAGCGCCCTCGGCGGCTACTGGGCGCGTTGCGTCTTTGGAGATGGCTCTCATCTTCCTCACTCGCCGTCGTCGACTCGTCAGGGAAATTCCAATAGGTGGCATGCACCCTGTTTCTAGCTGTCGCTGTTGGGCATCTCTTGAGTAACGACGAGCCCACTAGTCCTGGTTGTCGGCTGTGCTCTGGTTGTTGAGTAGGCGCCGTGGGAAAGCGCTGGCTCACAGCACCTCCCGCTACGTACCTCTGATGGTAGTGAAACGCACAAGCCTTTTGCAGTGACCTCTCTGGGCCCTCTGCCCTGGGAGGGTACGCCTCCAGGCTGCCCCCTCGGCCTCCTCCTCCTCCTCCTCCTCCTCCTCCTCCTCCTCCTCCTCCTCCATCGCGGCGAGTCTCTATAGATGCAGGCTTCCGGGGCGGTTCCGGGGTTTGCCCCGCGTTCCGCCGACGTTCCGCGTTTCGAATGTCGTTCCGTCGTCGGCCGCGCGGCTGGGACAAAGTTCTTCCTTCTCCCTCGCCCGTCGGTGCTAGCGGATCTTACAGTAATGTGCAAGTCGTTGCTTTTCGGCGTTGCTGGATGGCCGCTCATAATCCTGAGGGGGTCTTGGGCGCCTCTCGTGGAGTGCCGCCTCCGCAGAGACGTGGGCGGGTAGTTTCGGGAGGGTGGGGTCCGCAAGGCAAACGCCTTCGTGACCAAGCTCTGCCATCCCCACTGCGAAGCCTCCGATGGCCACTATTCTCGATACGGGTGGCCATATCGTGCGCCGCATGTCGGTTGATTTGTACCTTCGGCCTTTACGAAGCGTCCGTTCTGAAGGTGCATTCGGCACAGTGCTGTGCACACAAAATAAGAACGTGGCCGGCGGAAGTTGGCGCAAGTAAGAAGTGCGCCCCCGAGAGATGGCAACGTTGCTGGGTTCAGGGCTTCCCAGCGTCCCCCATACAGACACCCTTCGCCATCCGGGGGCCCCAGAACCGTGCGGCGACGGACTGCGTGGTGACCTCGGAGTCCCAAGAGGCGTCTCCGCGCGGTCCGTCGCCGCGCGGTTCCGGGGCCTCGGGAGAGCTAGTCGCTCGAGGCGTGTGCGCAGAGTGGCCCGAGGCCCGAGGTCGCGTGGCGATTCCGAGTCCTCTTCCGGTTCACCCCACGCGGCGTGGTCACCGCACCGTTTGGGGGGCCCTCGAGCCACGAGGGAAAGCGGGCCCTGACAGAGGGACACGGATCCTGCCGGGTTCTCCGTCGCTTGTGTGTCCTTGGGCACCAGAGAGTGGCTCAGGGTGAAAAAAGTATCTCAGGGGGGATCCAATTTCGGGAGGCAGAAGGACACGGATCTTGCCGGGTTCTCCGTCGCTTGTGTTATTGGGCACCAGAGAATGGCTCAGGATGAAACGACTATCTCATGGGGGGTCACATTTCGGGGGCTTGTTCCCCTGGAAAGTCGTTTCGCTTATTCCAAACTCGCAGCTCGACCGAGGGTGGAGGCCAGCGAAACGAGAAAGAAATGCCCAGGGGGGCTCGCAGCGCCCCTCTGGGAACTGGACGATTCGAGAGCTATTCCTGGAAGTCGTCGCCGTCGAGGCCGCCAGGCCGCAGCCAGCGACCCAGACGAGAGACACTTGCTTGTGCAATCGTCCCTGCCCGATTTGTTGTTTCGTCTTGTGGTCGTACTGGAACGGGGTCGGGTGGCGTGTGACGTCGCTCGGGTGGCGTGTGACGTCGCTAGGGCGAGGATTGAAGCAATGTCTGTGCCATCTGGTGTCTGGGCGCTGCGCTCGCGTCCTCCCAGTATTGCTCGACCTCGGGCTCCGGGGTGGGCCCGGGCGGGGCTCGGGCGCCCGCGTGCGGCCCGCGTCCTCGCAGGCACTGGGCCCCGCGCTGGCGGCGCGGCGGTGAGGAGGCCAGCCCGGCAGAAAACATCTGGCTACGCGCAAGATTTATGATGATTCTGTCCTCCTACAGGGCGGATCTGAGCCAAAGTTGGCCATTCACGTAAAAAATACGTTTTTAATATGATGGGCAAGTACACGTTAAGTAAGGTGTGGAAACCCTGATACGTTTTCGATTACGTCGTTGTGATCGATGTATTTTTGTACACTGATGCGAGCACGTCGCAAACCATCGGCCGTTATTGATGATGATGCGGAGGACGTTGATGACCACGATGATCATAAGGAGGATGACTGTGACGATGAGGACCGACGATCCGCGCGAGGGGTGAGCCGAAATGGGCGGCGTTCCCTGTTGGCCTCCCTAATGGGCCCTTTGGGGTACCATATGTCTGGGGGCTCCCCTTGGCTCCGAGGGAGTCTGGGGGGGGCGTCTAGGAGGGCCTCCAGGGGGCTCCCAGAGGGCTTCCAGGCAGGCTTCCAGGGAGTTCGGGGGGACTGCTCGGTGGCCTTCTAGGGAGTCTCGGGGAGGGGGGGGCGGTCTATGGTGGGCTTCTGCGGTGCTCTGAGGGGCGCTTTTAGGTGGGTTTCTTAGAGGTCGTCTAGGGTTTGGGGGCTTCTAGGTGGGCTTCTTTGGAGGTCGTCTAGGTGGGCTTCTTTGGAGGGCGTCTAGGTGGGCTTCTTGGAGGGCGTCTAGGTGGGCTTCTTGGAGGGTTTCTTGGAGAGCGTCTACGTGGGCTTCTTGGGGGGCGTCTAGGTGAGCTTGTATGTAGGTCGCCCTTGCCCCCCCCGCCGCACTGCTATCCCCCGCGCTCCATAACCATTTTGGCGAAAGGGCACCATGCCCTGGACTTCCATATTGAAGAAATCATCCGAGAACGAAGCTGGTGACGACATTCACACAGGATGGTCTCGGGTCTTGTTGGCTGCCGGAGCAGCCGACACGGAGGCACCAGCAGCTATTGACGCCGCCGACGGCGGCGACGAGGCAGTGTCCGCCATCGTCGTGGCCCCGCCGCATGACGCAGCTGCTGCCGTTCAGAATTCGATCACTACGTCAGCTGACTTGTCTTTTTCTCGACATGGGTTGCCAAGAGAGGCGTTGGAACCATTTAACCGCCGCAGTGTATGGCGGAAACATGTTTCACATCTGCTGGGTCATATTTTCGGTCGCCGACACCAAGTTGCAGCTCACGGCCATGACGTTGGCCCTCTCCCTTTGCCCGACGCTCCTGAGTCTGAGGCCGATCACGGCGGCGACGAAGTCGACATTGCTGCCCCGCATGCTCCACCAGCTCCCATTCCGATAGATTCTCACCCGAATACCTTCCCAGCAGCAGTTCTCGAACAGAGCAGCGTCTGGTTGGAGCGTGCTGCAGCCCTGGTGGAATCTGCCTTGGGCACGCCTTTGGCACCGCACGTCGTCGACGGCAGTGCGAGGGACATGATGACGAAACTACTTGCGCCGAGTCGCGTGGATAGGCCCATAAGTGCATCGACGATTGGAGACATATTGCATCGAAGCCACATAGACGTCGCCCAGACGATGGAGGACATTGCATGCACAAGTATCTTGATGTACCAACGTGACGCGGGCCGAATGCTTCGACAACATAGTAAAGATGTTATTGCGCGTGGAGGTAGACTCATTTGCTTCAGTCACAACTTGCAGTACGACTGCACCCCGCTCAAGACGACGATCAAGGACTTGGAAGATATAGGGCCATCGATTTGCGATACTGTTGAGAGCGACGCCGTGGTTGTGAGACGGATTGGAGTTTCGAAATTTGCCCTTGCAACCTCCCAGAGTTGCAACTACAAGCTGCTGCAAACCCATCAATCCATCAGTGCAGTGACGCAGACGGGCAACGATATCCTCCGCATCAATGTGAAGATTCCAGTTTGGTTGCAAGCAGTTTCTCGCGCGACTGGGGAGGTATATCTCCAAGCAGTGGCGGCCACAAACCCGAGGTTCGACGATATTGCTAGCCTTTATTCTCGGTCTCAACGGAGTGTATGCACCGATGCCGATGGAGCAGTGGAACGAGCTGAGCGCGGGATCGCACAGACGACTGCATCTTTGAGGGTTAAGTGCGAGGTGCACCGCGTCAGCGGCTCGATGAAGGAAGTGTTTGAGCCTCTGGAGCCGACGGTCAGTGCCAGCATCAATTTTAGCCTCACGCTCAGCAGCGCGACATCGATGCAGAGCTTACGGACATGCATCAGACAGGTTCTCTCAGATGGTCGGTTCGAGTATGTGCGCGGTCGCCCAGAGGGACACCACATAAGCTATAATGAATCATTGCTGGACTTGTTCTGCGATGCAAGTACTATCTCAAGGGTTCACTGTCGATCTGCCCTCTTGCTGTTCTTCAATTACAAGTGGGATCAGTCTCAAGTGCGTCATGTTTGCAACGGGTGCTGCACTGGCCCAGAGAGCGCCTTGAAAAAGGCTTGCGCTCTAGTGTGCTCCATGCTGGTAGGACACGAACCTCCGACCTGGCCTCGCCACAAGTGGTTGGGCGCATCCAAGTCGGTCGACTACATCGGCCTGGCGCTGTCGATCCACCCACCGTTGTTCAAGGACGCGTACCTGAGATGGGCGAGTTCGGAGCCAGGGGGCGGCTCTTTGTTGACCAGGCTGGCGACGTGCGGCATGTGCAGTGGCAATCCTATTTCCAGCCTTGCCCCGAATGCCAGCAAGATCAGAGATGGCCTCGCCGAGAAGATCAAGAGATGTACCATTACGGACCTAGCAGCTCAGGCATCTTCCCAAAACATCCCTGTCATCGAAGATCGACATCCCAGGACGGAGGACTTGGAGAAGGCAAATGTTGGGAAAAAAACAAGGTATATCACGCCACGTGTTGGAAGTATCTTTGAGGTGGTTTGTCTTGGGCCACCCTCTGCCTGGAATGATCGTACTGAAACGCATTATAACGCCGTTCGACATGATGTTGGTTGATTACATAGATACGTCGAGCCAGGATTGGAAACATCGTCAACAACAAGTGGCAGCTGCGGGGGGGTGCCGAGAGTATGCGATCCTCAAACAAGCTTTGCACAAGACGACTGAGCCAGCCCAGGCGGAGATCAGAGAGCTCTTTACCAACAGCGGCAGGTGGTGTATCACAAACAGCTTTTGTGTCGGATTTCCCGTTTGAAGGTTTTGGTTTGGTTGGATATGCTGTTTACAAGGTTTCGTTGACGCATGTGTTGGTTTTTGCTTCTGAAAGCCTTTCCCCCGCACCCTGGGGAACATGGGGGGCGACGCGTGACGCTGTTGGTGGGGTTCTCTAGTCTCCTCAGGTGGATATGCATGCCATCAGAATTTCGGACCTCTGCGATGATAGCTCGGATATTCTGCATGTTAGCTGAAGCGTCCTGCAGCGTGTACAACTTGAGACGGCTGCACGAGAATTACCCGTTCAAGACTTTTCTGATTTTGGATTCGGCCGCTGGTGTACCTGGAGTTTGCAGTGAAAAGGAGTGCAGGCTTGACGAATGGACACTAGACTACCTCACGCATTATCGCACCCAGCTGGAGATAGACCCAAGGGACCCTGCTGCAATCGCCGACCTGATCAGCACTGCCATGGACATCGATGTAGAGTCAGTTGCAGTGGAGGTGGGTCATACAGCAGTCCGAAGGTGTCTTGGTCAGCTCTCCTACCATTGCAAGACGGCCAGACTGGAGCAGGCATCTGCCCGATGGGCGTTGGGTAAACTCAAGAAGCTCGAGTACAGCTACGCCAGGGCAGGTGCGCGAGCAGCTATCAGGCGATCGCGCTGCATTTCTAGCCCCACGGATCAGAGGAGCTTACCTCAGAAGCGAAAGCGCGGTGGTGGTGGTCTGTGGAGGGAGCATGTAAAGAGCACGAAGGGGACACCAGGACGACCTTGTCTACGAGCACTTGGGATATCATATCGTGGTCTTTCTGCTGCTCAGAAGGCGACGCTCAGGCAACCCGCGAAGCTGGCTACCCGTCGACATCGCGAAGGGGCGAAAATGCAAACAGCCAGAACGATTGCGCGCCAGCTTGCAAAAACGAGGCTTGAAGAGACCTCACTTGCTATTCGCTCGGCAATCTTGAGTGGCGGGCGCATGGCTGCATCAGATGTGCTGCGAAGATTTCATCCTGATGGCTCCAACTGGGACGTGGCTAAGCGATTACTGAGGGCCCATGGCAAGGCAGTGGCCAAGCTCGAGGCCGCGTCTGAGGACGTCCTAGCTGCTTTCATCGATGGCGACGCTTTGAAGCCCGATGGCTTTTCGTCGGTCTTCGCAGGCCCTGGGCGAGCAGCGGCACATCCACGTCAGTCAGAGTTTGTGGCGTTGCCTGAGACCTTCAAGTTTGCAGATGGTTATACGTTTCGCCACGCATCCTGGCAGCCAATGGACTTGTCTCGTCGAGTCATCAATGCATTGTCCCTCCAGGGTCGCGAGCCCCCCACGGTGAAGCTGCGGAAAGCTATCCGAAAAATATGGGCACGGTGGCACACAGCAATACATCATGAACCAAGTGTTGTTATTCCAACTTATGATTCTGTGCGACGGCCTTGCTGGGAGGCTGGTTTATGCGTGTGCTGCCCCGATGGTGAACTGGCCGCCCGATTGAGGAGATCATTCTGGAAAGTTGTTCGATCTGTTTTCAGGGCACACTCCAAGGAACGAGACGCGCTAAAGTTTGCAGAGGTTTGCGCGCTGTTCGTAGGTGATCGGCGAGATGACCCAGTCGACGGAGGTGGTGGTGAAGACACCCCGCATTCAGTGCACGAAGTTCTGTGGAGGCAGATGGGTGACGTTGACATGGCCAAGTGGACTTGCGCCTTCATGGGCCTGGGGTGCCCCGACATGGACGGATTCATCGGCGGCCCCGTGCAGGAGGGCGACGCACAGCGCACAGTGAATATCCAGGCGTGGCAGCACCACAGCGACGATTGGCAGATGGCGTCCTATCTTAACAAAAGGTTGCGGTGGCGCATTTGCTTCTACGGTGTGCTATTTACT